GGTTCCCCCCCCCCCCCAAACAAATTTTGGGCTGATTTGCACATGTGGAAAGTTTAGGCTTATAGTTGCAATTTTTTTCTGCTTAAATAGAAAGGTATTTTGGTCATTTTACGTCAAAAAATGTTAAAAAGGATGTTTAGCACAAAGAAAGGGGGAAATAGGGACAAAAATGTTAAAAAATGAAAAGTATGGATGTTTTCCACGATAAGCTTAAAAGGTAGAGACTTTTTGTGCCAATTACCCTTTTAAAGACTATATTTAACAATCTAGAGAGCATTTATAAATTTAGAAGGCAAAATTTTAAGTGCTCCAAGAGGCTCTTTATTTTTATTATTTAATTTTTACTACTTCCAAATAATATTTATTATTTTTTTAATATTTTATTTTTACTAGCTTCTCTCCAATTTTTTTTTTTTTTGTACACTAAAAATTGAAATAATTTGAGTGCATTAGATAATCGAGAGCTCACTTTCCAATTTAAAATGTTAATTTAAAGAATATTTTAAGTAAAATTTTAAATGTTAACTCTTTAAAATAGAGAAGATCTTGTGTTTAAAGGATCTCCTAGAGATGCTCTGATAAAGTCCAATGTCATAATGAATTAACATATCTAATTAGTGGCGTTAAGACAAGTACGACATCCAAATCGTCAGGATTTGAGTTGTTATTGAGATTTTAAAAAAGAAAAAAAAATCATTATCGATTTGGGAATGTGGTGTCAATGGTGAGTTACCACCAAACATAGCTTTAACTTAACTACTGGGGATGTATTTGTATTAAGAATAAAGTGGAAAGTATTTATATGAAAGAGAAAATAATAGATCAATAATTGAATTGAGATTGAAGTGAGGAAATATAAGGAATGATTATGAATAATTAAGTAATAATGAATAGATTGACAGTTGAATAATATATTAAGGAATTGAATTAAGAATGAGAAATTTAGATAGAAAAATATAAAAGATAAATTGTTGAGGATTGGTGTTAGGCATTTATAGAGATTTTTTTTAAGTGACTGTTTGAGATCCAGTGTTCACTTTTAAAGTATATGACCGTTTGGTCACTTGTTTACATGAGCCGCTCACCTCGCAAATATTTTTAGGGTCGAGACGAGCTCGAGCAATCCATGGGCTGAGCTCGGACGAGTTAAACAGGCAAGTCTAAGAGTCGCTAGGTCCATTTGCCACCTTTACACATATGTAATATTGTAGTTACTTCGCACCAGTTTTTGCATGGCTATGAACTTCACATTTCACTTAGCACTTGTTTGGTTTAGATTAAAGTTATTAAAAACAAATTTTTAATACGGATTACAAACGTTTAATCACACATTTCATTAACTTTTATCAATATTTACTAAAATTGTGATTCTAATCTACACAAAAAAGGGGCTTAATTGGAATGATTTTTACAATATTTTATCTCAATAAATAAATTTGTTTGTGTTATAAACTAGAGAGAAAAAAGAGAGAGAAATAAATAAAGAAGTTAATAAATTTGTATGTTTTATTAAGAATCAATCTCATATTTATAGTGAAGAATTAGGACTATAAGAAATACAACAATCATAATTATTAGAGCTGTAGAGATATAAGTCATTCATAAATACTATATTTACTATACTCTCCCTTGAATGACTATTTGTATAATAATTATTTTATTGAAATATTATTTGGCAAAAATTTGATGGGACAAAAATGCTAGCAAATGAAAAAAAAAAGGTACAAAGAGTTTGGAGTAATAAAATGCTGCATTGTTAAAACACTGTCAAGAAAATTCAATGCGACAAAACTTGCTTGAAAGGAAACCTTGATTTCAATTCTTATATCAAGAGATCCATATTTTATATGTTAACTTCTTTAATAGTAATGTATTGTACATTAATGTTTTCAAAAAAAAAAAAAAAAAAAAAAAA